CATCACAAGCCAGCAAAACATCCACGAAACAAAGAAAGGTCTGTCACAGCCAAAAAATACACTCTAGACACGCCGCTGGCACTAGAGGCACAGCATGGCCGCCTAGTAACGGCCCCGACCACTGCCGCTCGACCTGACCGGAAAAAACTAGCCCCATTTTTTTTTTTTTTAACTTCGTATACGGGAAACCTCCTTAACGAGGTGATAAGAGCATCCTCGTTAAGTAGGCCCCGACGTCGAAGGCTCCATCTATTGGTGGGAAGCTACACCTGCTGGAAATCAGGTCCAGCGTCCCAGTACAATGATGAAAATGTATCTGATGAAAATGTATCTGCTGGAAATCAGGTCCAACGCCCTTATGCAATGGTGTGAATGTATGTGCCGGAACACAGGTCCAGCGTCCCTATCCATGCAAACTATAGAAACTCTACAACTATCTGAGGCATCAATCCAATAAGTTGAAACCCTAACCATGATGTGATGTGTACTACCAATGCTTTGATTTATATCTGCTGGAAATCGGGTCCAGCGTCCCCATATCGTTTGTGTAACTATGTAGACTATGGAATCTCTGCAACAATCTGAGGGATCAATACCTTCAGTCGAAACCCTAACCATGATATGATGTGTTCTACCAATGATGTGATCCACTCGTCACGAAACCCTAACAATGATGGTTGTACGTGGCGAACATCAGGCGTGCCTTAACACAACGTACCCTCCATGCATTATCTTATGAATCTGTCAAGGGGATTGATTACCTCCCTGCGCAAGAGAAGGGACGGCCTCCTGCAATCCAACCCCTAAACTGCCCACCACCAATCCCGCGAGGCGATCACCACCCCAGTGTTGATTGGTATTGTGGGCTGGGCAACACCAATCATCACTGACTAACCTACTCCTATCCTCTGGCAGACAACGAGAAGCAACTCCATATCGAGGCCAAAAAATATAACAAGGAGGAAGTCCCCCGTGTCCACCCCCATTCCGACCGCGTCTACCTGCAGTACCTCACCCATCATGCTGCTCCCATGGACGTCGCCCCCTCCGTCGTCAGCATTTTGTTTATTGTTGTTGTTGTTGCAGTCGATGTTGTTGTTTTTGTTGTTGTTGTCGTCTCCATTATCATCCGCATCCATCTGTTGTATCACTCCCCTCATGCGGCGGCCGTGGACGTCGCCTCCCCCATCATCATCGTTGTTGTTGTTGTTGTTGTTGTTGTTGTTGTTGTTGTCGATGTTGTTGTTGTTGTTGCTGTCACCACCTTTATCATCCATGTCCATCTGCGTCATCACACCCTTCATGTTGCTGCCGTGGACTTCGCCCCCGCCCTCGTCACCGTTGTTGTTGTTGTTGCCATCGTTGTTAATGTTGTTGTCATCCTTCACACCCCCTTCGCCCATTTTGCCCACTCCCAATCCCTGCGCACCATCATTGATGTTGTTGTTATTGTTGTTATTGTTGTTGTTGTTGTTGTTGTTGTTGTTAACGTCTCCATTATCTTTCTCGTCCACCTGCAGTATCACTCCCATCATAGTGCATCCTTGGACGTCGCCCCCCCGATCTTTATTATTGTTGACACCATCCCCATCCTTGATGTCGCTGTAGCTGATGTTGTTCCTGTTATTTGTGTTTTCGCCGCAATTGTCTTCACTCGCCAGCAATCCATACATATACTCCAACTGATTGCGTAGATCTCGCCCCAATGTGAAGAGGGTTCTGCAAGCAGCCAACCTGTCATCCGCCCGCCTCCAGTCAATGTAGTCTTCGGGCCGGGGATCCGGCCCCTCCTCCAGCTCCCACAAGATGTCTAACAACTTTTGAATCCTATCTTCCAACCTCTGATCCATCGAGATCGCTCCCCCATCGATCTCCCCCCCTTCATGCTGCCGCTGCATAAGCAATCCCACTGTCGTCTGCAACTGCTTGCATCCCTCCTCCAGTGTGGTAATCCATTCTTCTGCTTGTCGGTGCTTGATGTTGTACCTCCCCTTCCAAATCCATCTCTCCCCCCCTTAGCTTCGCCACTCACATAGTTTTACTGAACCTCTTGTAATCCCACGGCTGGCGCTACCCCTGCTGACGTGTCACGGGACGTCAGTGTCACTAAACAGCAGGCGCCATGTGGCCACAAGCCACTTCACACCTATCGGGCACGTGTGTGACGCGCCAACTTCCGGACTTGCGCTACCTTCCCTCCCTCCCCCCCCACCTTGTTTCTCTGTCTTTTTGTAAAATTTTGGATGACCATCTGACGAGGCCTCTTTTTTGTATTTTCATGAATGTAATATGCAAGGCCCTCGGACCAATTTTTGGATTTTTTTTTTTTTGCACATTGGGAATTACGCGCGCCTTAGCGACCGCGCTAGGAATTTGGGTTGACGATTAGGAATTTTCGAATAAGCGGGATCCAACGTGTCCTTTCTTGTGCATGAATATTCACAACTTCGTCTTGGAAAGCTCTGGGAATTTTCGCAGAAATCTGAATAGGCGTAGGACTTTCCCACGTGTCTGTTTTGCCGCGCAGATATGGTATTTTTCAATTTGAATTAGTCGTAACTGTTTTGGTGCCTTTTTGCCTTCGCGACAACACGATGCATGCGAGCCTCCCCTCCCACTTCCCCCGCTGTCCTCGACACTCCCTTCCTCACGCTCATACTCCTCCTCTCTCTGTAACCGTTTCCCATCTCCCCATCGCCTTGCGCGCCTTTTCTCTCCTTCTTGATCGTCTGAATCTTGGTTCCACTTCGCACTATTCTTCGCGCTCTTCTTCTTCCCGCTCTGATCCCCCGCGCTGAAACACCAGGTCGATCCCCTCCCTCTAACCAAAGAGACACGCTGTGTAAGAGGAGAATTCATGATACACGACGATTCTGATTGGCTACAGTTGGGATCCAAAGGATCGACATGGCTTTCGACGGACAATCCCTGAGTCTTCTCCTACTTCTCCCTATTTCAGTCCTAACCCTTCCCAGCATCTATCATTCTTTCCGCAACTATAAATTTCGCAAGCGCTCCCGAAAAACTCTCTCTCGACTCATCAGCCCACTTCCGAGAAGTCGTGGCTAGATGCTATGAAGGAAGCTGCGAGTCAAAAAGTCCCGACGAGCAGGCTGTAGCCTTGGCGCTCGGCATGCTGGGTCGCCCAACAGACTGTGGGATCCGAGCAGGGCCGCGCAGAGGCTAAGTCGGCGGGGTGACGATCTCTATGGTGGATTGGCACGTGACGACACAGGATCGTCAGTGCAAGTGAGATGTTCGAGTCGGAAGTGAGTGAGTGCATGGTCCGGGGCCATGGTGGAATTTTATGACGACAGTGGTTTTTTTCCTTTCTATTTCAAAGTTGTATCTTCGAATGTGAGTTTTTGATCGCTCGGTTTTTTAGTCAAGACATCTTTGGGTAAGATCGCCTGACACTTTGTGATTGCTTCCTACTCGTTTCTCCCTCCTAGTCTGTGTCCCTACTCTCCCTTCTCCAGTCGCGACATGTCATAATGGATGAATTATGGTGACCTTGTTTCCCTCGCTTCGATATGTGCATGTAGTGAGCCGTGATTGGAGGTTTTGTTGTAGCATGATAGAAGGGATGATTGGTTGAGCGACTGAATGATCAGGTTGCCTGGATTGGCAGACGGATGATGTATGATTAGGATCTGTGCTTACCTTTATTGCCATGTGGACTGACAGCCCCAACTCGACAGGGCGCCAACTTCTCGTGCCCCCGCCGTGCCCCTTCTTGTACAACGAGGAAAGGACACGGGTATGTGAGTGGGACGTACGAGAAGTCGTCGCCAAGATCGGAGGGCGTTACTACTTTCCTCCCGAAACTCAGTGCTCTGGATTCGTTGATGTGGGTTTTGTTATCATCGATACACACTTTCTGCCTTCGTTGTTATTGCCTTTTAACGAGCTCATCGTCGTCCTGTGGGCGGCAGTGGAGCCCCATTGGCCTAATACTCTGTGCAGCGATTGTCGCCGCATCGAGCGTTGAACATAATGGAAAGGCCACTCGGTTGAGGCCCTCCACGTCGGACTCGGAGTTGTGTAGCGAGCGCCAACGCGACCTCATCTGAAAACGAGATACCACGTGTGTACCCGCCCCCTTTCACGCAAAACGAAAGGCGACAACTCGTTGGGAAGTCCAGCGATACTTTTTGGATTGAATTTCCCATAGCTGCGAGTCCCACGCACGCTTTTTTTTCCCTTAAAACCCGCGCGGTGATAGATCTTCTTCCTACTACAGTTAGACCAACACGGGGGATTTCAGTTCCATTTCTGTCCCCACACTCAATTTTCCAAAAATCCTTGGCACACCCCATCATTGCTGCCTTTCCCGGGCCCCTTCCGCGAACCGCAACGCTCCGAACGGAATGTAGTGCAGGGGGTGAGGTTGGTATCGGAGCCGACACGTGTCGGTTCTGACGATTAGTAAGACGAGTTGGCGAAGGGAAGAACCACCAACCGATTTAATCGGCTGAGTCCTCCGGTTACCCGACAAAGGTCTGTCGAAACTCAACCAGGGATGCCCATGGCTGATCCTAATGGAGCACCTCCTCGGGTGATGGTGAGCATCCCCGCCACCTTCCCATTTTACCCCAACCATACCCATCCCGAGGCATGGCTTGAGGTCGTACAAGCTCAGGGATATGGTGCAGAGGACCTCCCTCGCGTCATCACCCTGCTTCTCCGAAACACCACTCATGATTGGTTTAGAAGACATAGGTGGGTAGATTGGGAAACCTTCAAAAGAGGGTTCCTAGCACGATTCGACGAAGTCAGTGAGGATGATGCATGGTTCGTATTGAAAACTCAACCGCAGGAACCCGGAGAGTCACTACCCGATTTTCTGGACCGATTTCAAACCGCGCTGGACAAATCGGGGCGAGAAGAAAACGCCGCTCGAGATTTGTTCATCGATCATCTTTGTAACCCCGTGCTAAAAGCAAAGCTACAAAAGAAGGTCCCCCCTAAAACAAACCAATTACCAGTCATCATCGCTAAAGCACTTGAACTCGATTTAATGGACACGCGCAAATACATACGTCAGGGGGACGAAGACATCTCGGATAAGATACAGGATGTCGCTGCTAAGCGACGATCGTGGCTCAAAGAAGTGGGGCGATTCTACCCTCGCCCCGATCACGACTATCAGGACGGACCTTCGTTGGATCCCTCCCCTCTTCACCTGTCTTCTGTCCCTCCCCTCCCTCCTAAGATGGTGCCCGTGAACACTGTCATGCCCCAGGCTGCGCCAGTACCCATCACTAACCTACATCTAGCCTTGATGATTCATACCGCCACAGTTAAACAATCTGAGTGGATGAACAATCTGATACAGATGCAGACTTCTCAGATGGATCGACTAGAACAGATCATGACGAAACTGATAAAAGCTAATTCGATTTCTTCGCGTCCCCCTCCTCCTTCGTATCCCATGCTGGCTTCCCCTCCTACCCCTGGCCAAACACTTACAACTCATAATCAGGGGATCAATCCAGCAAGAAGAGTCGAATGCTACAACTGTAAGCAACCCGGACACTTTACATGCGACTGCCCTGTGCCAAGACGTAACCAGCCCCTGCCGGCAGCGGTGCCTATCGCCTTGAATCAGGGACAGGTAGCCGCACTATTAGAAGCAACAAGGGAAAGGGGATCTGACCCTCCCCCTGCAGAGCCATCGGCTGAACCCGTCGCGTCCACTTCGGGATCATCTTCCGAAGCGGCCGATGTTGTTGATCCTACAGAGTACCTCCAACTAGCAGGACTGATCGGAGCAATCCGACCTGGCAAGGATGAATTCGAATGGGTGGAGCGAGGATTAGAGCCCGGTCCTCAGTTTCGAACAGGGGAGATGATGGAGATCGATGTGCTTCGGACGCTCAAACACTTGGATATCCGAGTCCCTGTCCCCATGGGACATCTACTGACCATATCGGAAGTTGTGAACAACAAACTTCTTCATCAATGCTAGAAAAATCAGAAACGCTTTACGTATCAACGCGTTCAGAAAATGCTGAAGAAAAAGAAGGACGATGAGGCAGAAGTAAACCCTCCTTTATCGAAACCAATATCCACCATGCCCGACGCACTCGAGACTGCTCGGGTTGCCACCATTTCATACGCAGAGAAAGACCACTTTGTTCGAGTTCGATTTGTCCTGCAGAAAAGTGCGAAGTGTGATTGTGAGGTATAGGGGAAACCGTTCAATGCCCTGGTTGATACAGGATCGTCTGCGGTAGCGATATCTTTGGACACCGTCCGAAAAACTAGATGATTGAATTCGATCCTTCTTTTACCCAGACAGGACAACTACGTCTCTGCCGACGAAGAAAGGATGAACATAGTCGGGACTATTGAAAACGTAGCCGTTAAGGTAGGACGAGTACATGTCCTGGTCAATGCATTAGTAATCGATGTATAATCATACTCGGTACTGTTGGGGTTGCCTTGGGCTATGGCTGTGGGCGCACAAATACATTTCGACTCCAAGCAGCTCGTCCTTACGCATACTGGAGGAAAGCCTCAAACAGTTCCGCTACGAGTCTCCACTCGATCACCAAGAAAGACCCCCGACCTCCCCCGAATAGGAATGATATAAGTCCCAAGCCCAGAAGAGTCGTCCGAAAGTAGTGACGAGGAGCGTGAGGACCAACACATATCCCTAGATGACGAGTATGATGAGCGGGACTATGGCGGACTGCTAGGTAGCATGCCTACTGAAAAGGAATGGAGTCAGTGAGTCGAGTTGTTCAATCACGAGACTAAAGAAGAGTTTCGGATAAATCCGACTACTACTAGGACATTTGGTCTCGATACAGAAGATCGCCAGACAGGCCCTCCGTCGCCTTTATCCCTGTGTGCACTAACAGAAGCCCAGTTTTCAGTAACATATTTTCTAGGATAACCTATCTTGCAAGTTTTGGACATGGCTGACTTCTTGGAACCCCCTCGAACCCTGTACGAGGGTGTGCTTTCCTTATGAGAAAGATATCAACAAATGGATCAGTACTTGGATTTCTCCGTTTC